AAAATGCACGACTTTGTAATTACTGTTTAACTCACTTCAAATTAGTTAGTCTGCAAGTAAAGTGAGGAGAATCAATTTTTTGAATTACTTTTTCAAGAAAGAAAGAACTGCATCCATAGGTCCTATAAGACTCAGAACATAAATGATCTAATATGAAAGTTTGTAAGTTGAGTTAAAACCCAGTTTCCAATAGAAACCAAAATGTAGATGAACTATTTCACTCGTTAACAAAAAAAGAGATCTATAGATAAAAAAATCTAACAGAAAACTTCTCATCTCATTGATGAGGAATTTCAATCTATTAAGCTACAAGTACATACAAAGTCTGTGATTGAAGTTTCACAGAATTTTTTTGAGGAAAAAAAAAATCTAACAACAAAAGAAACCAGAACCACACAGAAATAAGAATAGCAAATGCTGTACTGAGGGACAGGAAAGTTCGCAGTTTTACTTGAGGCTCCACCAATCCAGATAACCACACAATCTGTCAATTAAGTGCATAAAACGTGCTGCCAGAGCCCACCAAGAATAATAATTTACTTGCCACCCAAGAGATGTTTAAAAATATCACTTCCCTTTGTACTGTACCCAAGAGTATGGTATCATACAATGAGTATATAGTTTAATCTTAACTACCTTTAAACTTAATTCTTTTTGTTATTTTTTAAATGAGATTTTAAAGACTATTTGCATAAAAGCAAGAACCAAACCTTTAAGTTTATTTTTAAACTTATTTTTAAGAAATAATTTGAAATGTTTAAATTCTATATTTCCATTCACTTTGCTTATGAAAACTGTGTTCCTGCTATGAACATGTTCCCTATATTAAAAGCTGAATATTTTTTCTTTGAAACTTAAAAAAGTAATACATTGTCTGATACAGTAATAGATACTGTGGTATTTTTAGGAGTCATTTAAAGAGTAAATTATGATGCCTAGAAATAAATGATATGCAAGGATAAAGGTGGAAAACATTGCCCTAAGTAAAATTTAAAAAATGTTCACATACATTCCCAAATATAAATAAAATGTATATTAATGAAACTACTCATAACTATTCATGTAATCATTGGGATAACCCAGCAATGTCTGTCTACATGATGGCCAAAGTGGAAGAGATGGAAGAGTGGAAGAGATTTTCCACAGTAATTTTCCTTATTTCACTGTTTGGCTAATGTCAGCCTGTTCCCACTTGGTTGTTATGTTAGACTGTGGGATGAAACAAGATATGACTCAGTATCAGCAAATACAAATTAAAATAAAGGCCCATATAAAAAAATGTAAATAAAGACCAGTGTAAAATGACTTCTAGCCCAATGATAATGTCAGAAAGGGGGAGTAGGAGATTTTAAAACCAGAACATTTCATAAAACAACATAAAGTTGACATCATAAACTGAAGATTAAAAAAATATATAGTTTAGAAATTATTAGAATTCTACCTGCATCCTTTGCATGAAATCTGAAACCTGTTTAAGATTACTCAAACATTTAGAAATAGATGTGGAAATGTAATCAAAAAGTACAATGTCAAAAGCTGTAATCAAACTACGTTCATCATAATTCCATCTTAACATTTAACATAAGGATGAAGACTTCTTACCCCATATTTACATTGGCGGGATGTTGCTCCGTACTGGAAACGACACTGCTCATCGGCATCATACACCTGACCTGGAGCCACAGCTGGATAAAGAAAGTCCCGCTTGGGAGGCTCATTATCAAGGCAAGTACCACGGCCTGAACTGTTCAACATAAAGGATCAAAGGAAATTAGGTACTCTATGGACTATTTCCATCACAATTATGAAACCAGGTGTTGTGCTCTTTGTTTTAATAAATTGATGCATGAAAAACAAACATTCTACCAATAAATAATCAAATGACAGGAAGAAAAAAGAAAAAAAAAACAACTGAGCCCTGAGCTCCAGATCATTTTTTGAAACACCAAAGCACAATGAAAGCATCTCAGACAACAATATGAAAATATGTTGGTCTTTAGAACATTGACTTAAACTAATTTCTGAAGGAATCAAAACAGAATTTCAAATTGTTCTAAGTTTCTTGTTTGTTTTCATTGAAAATATAACCACATCTGGTAGTAGAATTAAAAACATGAAATGTGGAAAATTTTTAAAAAGAACTTTGTGGTTGTAATCTTTAAGGACCTAATTTATATATTTCTACCTTGGGCAGAACAATAGAAGCTGTGGTAAGACATGGCCATAGGTTCATGAAATATTTCACTAAGAAATGGGCTGAATGACAGATGAGGCCAAGATCTAAAGTTCTCTTTTCAAGTATATAAGAAGTGTTTAGTCTCTCAAAAATTTCATATTTCATCTAGGGTCATCAGAATTGAAAAAGAGAATGTTCTCTCTCTATAATTTCTGCTTTTCAAAGTATGTCTGCACTCAATCATAATATTTTAATTCAGTGGAACAAATAACATAAAGATCGCCAAAAGTCAGACAGAATCCCTTAGTTTAAAGACCTGCTTTAAACTTTGCTAAATATAATTGTTCACTTTTATTTAGTCAGTGTGCATAAAATAGGACAGATGCTTTTTTACTTTCATTTCACATGTGAGTAAGTTAGAATTTTTAGAGAATTCCTATGCCAACATTTAAAAATTTTTTCCAACATTCCTGTCCATTGTGCCAGCACTTGTGTTTTTTTTTGCAAATCTTTTCCATCCACTTTGCCAAAGGAAAATAATTTTACAAGTAGACGTTCCTCAACTATTTTTTAGGACAGTACAAATTTTCATTTATAGATAAGTAAGAAATAACTGTGCATAATAATGAGTTTCATATTCACTTAAAAGATTCTCATATTCTAAAAATGTGAGTTAATTTGTTATATTAAAATATATTTCTATAGCAGTAAATTAGTATCTTTTGCATGAGACCCTGTCAAGCTACTTGTATTTCTGTCTCTTTCTGTCTGTCTCTCTTTTTAATGAAATAAATAAATCAACTTTAGAAAAAAATACATGAAGTTGTGTAGGTTTATAAGATGCTTATGCCATTACATAGGTTTTACAATTTTCTTTCTTTTTTTTTTTTACATTTATTTTTTAGTTTGTTATAGAGTGTATATGATTGCTGGAGAAAGAGAGGGGAAAAGAGACAAAGAGAGAGAGAGAGAAAAAAAGTTAAAAAGCACCCCCCCAGGGGAGAGGACCATGCCACAATCCCTTTTATTCCACTTTCCGCTCAGAATTTTGGGCACGCATGCACATGTGCCCAGCCTGGTTTTCAAACTGCCAGATCCATTCATGTGGAATCCAGCTGCCTTAACCACCATGTCACTGAGTTGTCTCTTACAACTATTACAGAAGTCTTTTAAAACATAATGCATAAAGTTTCTAAAACTATAATATACAGAACGTAAACTGAAAATGCACGACTTTGTAATTACTGTTTAACTCACTTCAAATTAGTTAGTCTGCAAGTAAAGTGAGGAGAATCAATTTTTTGAATTACTTTTTCAAGAAAGAAAAAACTGCATCCATAGGTCCTATAAGACTGAGAACATAAATGATCTAATATGAAAGTTTGTAAGTTGAGTTAAAACCCAGTTTCCAATAGAAACCAAAATGTAGATGAACTATTTCACTCGTTAACAAAAAAAGAGATCTATAGATAAAAAAATCTAACAGAAAACTTCTCATCTCATTGATGAGGAATTTCAATCTATTAAGCTACAAGTACATACAAAGTCTGTGATTGAAGTTTCACAGAATTTTTTTGAGGAAAAAAAAAATCTAACAACAAAAGAAACCAGAACCACACAGAAATAAGAATAGCAAATGCTGTACTGAGGGACAGGAAAGTTCGCAGTTTTACTTGAGGCTCCACCAATCCAGATAACCACACAATCTGTCAATTAAGTGCATAAAACGTGCTGCCAGAGCCCACCAAGAATAATAATTTACTTGCCACCCAAGAGATGTTTAAAAATATCACTTCCCTTTGTACTGTACCCAAGAGTATGGTATCATACAATGAGTATATAGTTTAATCTTAACTACCTTTAAACTTAATTCTTTTTGTTATTTTTTAAATGAGATTTTAAAGACTATTTGCATAAAAGCAAGAACCAAACCTTTAAGTTTATTTTTAAACTTATTTTTAAGAAATAATTTGAAATGTTTAAATTCTATATTTCCATTCACTTTGCTTATGAAAACTGTGTTCCTGCTATGAACATGTTCCCTATATTAAAAGCTGAATATTTTTTCTTTGAAACTTAAAAAAGTAATACATTGTCTGATACAGTAATAGATACTGTGGTATTTTTAGGAGTCATTTAAAGAGTAAATTATGATGCCTAGAAATAAATGATATGCAAGGATAAAGGTGGAAAACATTGCCCTAAGTAAAATTTAAAAAATGTTCACATACATTCCCAAATATAAATAAAATGTATATTAATGAAACTACTCATAACTATTCATGTAATCATTGGGATAACCCAGCAATGTCTGTCTACATGATGGCCAAAGTGGAAGAGATGGAAGAGTGGAAGAGATTTTCCACAGTAATTTTCCTTATTTCACTGTTTGGCTAATGTCAGCCTGTTCCCACTTGGTTGTTATGTTAGACTGTGGGATGAAACAAGATATGACTCAGTATCAGCAAATACAAATTAAAATAAAGGCCCATATAAAAAAATGTAAATAAAGACCAGTGTAAAATGACTTCTAGCCCAATGATAATGTCAGAAAGGGGGAGTAGGAGATTTTAAAACCAGAACATTTCATAAAACAACATAAAGTTGACATCATAAACTGAAGATTAAAAAAATATATAGTTTAGAAATTATTAGAATTCTACCTGCATCCTTTGCATGAAATCTGAAACCTGTTTAAGATTACTCAAACATTTAGAAATAGATGTGGAAATGTAATCAAAAAGTACAATGTCAAAAGCTGTAATCAAACTACGTTCATCATAATTCCATCTTAACATTTAACATAAGGATGAAGACTTCTTACCCCATATTTACATTGGCGGGATGTTGCTCCGTACTGGAAACGACACTGCTCATCGGCATCATACACCTGACCTGGAGCCACAGCTGGATAAAGAAAGTCCCGCTTGGGAGGCTCATTATCAAGGCAAGTACCACGGCCTGAACTGTTCAACATAAAGGATCAAAGGAAATTAGGTACTCTATGGACTATTTCCATCACAATTATGAAACCAGGTGTTGTGCTCTTTGTTTTAATAAATTGATGCATGAAAAACAAACATTCTACCAATAAATAATCAAATGACAGGAAGAAAAAAGAAAAAAAAAACAACTGAGCCCTGAGCTCCAGATCATTTTTTGAAACACCAAAGCACAATGAAAGCATCTCAGACAACAATATGAAAATATGTTGGTCTTTAGAACATTGACTTAAACTAATTTCTGAAGGAATCAAAACAGAATTTCAAATTGTTCTAAGTTTCTTGTTTGTTTTCATTGAAAATATAACCACATCTGGTAGTAGAATTAAAAACATGAAATGTGGAAAATTTTTAAAAAGAACTTTGTGGTTGTAATCTTTAAGGACCTAATTTATATATTTCTACCTTGGGCAGAACAATAGAAGCTGTGGTAAGACATGGCCATAGGTTCATGAAATATTTCACTAAGAAATGGGCTGAATGACAGATGAGGCCAAGATCTAAAGTTCTCTTTTCAAGTATATAAGAAGTGTTTAGTCTCTCAAAAATTTCATATTTCATCTAGGGTCATCAGAATTGAAAAAGAGAATGTTCTCTCTCTATAATTTCTGCTTTTCAAAGTATGTCTGCACTCAATCATAATATTTTAATTCAGTGGAACAAATAACATAAAGATCGCCAAAAGTCAGACAGAATCCCTTAGTTTAAAGACCTGCTTTAAACTTTGCTAAATATAATTGTTCACTTTTATTTAGTCAGTGTGCATAAAATAGGACAGATGCTTTTTTACTTTCATTTCACATGTGAGTAAGTTAGAATTTTTAGAGAATTCCTATGCCAACATTTAAAAATTTTTTCCAACATTCCTGTCCATTGTGCCAGCACTTGTGTTTTTTTTTGCAAATCTTTTCCATCCACTTTGCCAAAGGAAAATAATTTTACAAGTAGACGTTCCTCAACTATTTTTTAGGACAGTACAAATTTTCATTTATAGATAAGTAAGAAATAACTGTGCATAATAATGAGTTTCATATTCACTTAAAAGATTCTCATATTCTAAAAATGTGAGTTAATTTGTTATATTAAAATATATTTCTATAGCAGTAAATTAGTATCTTTTAAAAACTGAACCATACTATTCCTAAGGCGATATAGAGTCAAAGACCAAGGGGCAAAATACTATCTTCTTCACACCCTTTTCCTTTCACTTATGTTCCTCTTGACTAATATTTAATCAATACAAAAAATTTAAATGGAATATTAAATATGGTGTGAATATAGATAGATTGGCTGTTATAATCATTGCACTGCTCAAGGTACCTAAATAACAGAAAACAACCTTTTTTTAATCCACCTATCCAGTTTATATGACAGAATACCTTTTATATTTTATTTATTGTATTGTTACAAATAAACATGTACCTTAGCAACAAAATTGTTTCTAAGTGAAATTTTAAAATAGCAAGTACTTTTAAATTTTGTTATGCAAAGTATCTTTAATCTAAATGCATATGCAGATTTTAGGCAAGTATAATAAAATTTTACTGGTAAATTTAAAATTATATATGTATTAAAGTTAATAACAAAGAGATCATATTTGAATAGTATAATGAAAAAAGAAAGACTTCTTCTGGAGAGTTTTTTTTCTTTCTTTTTTTTTTTTTTTTTTTTTTTGCTACAGGGCACATGTGCTCGCCAAAAAGACAGAGAGAGACAGAGAGATCTTGGGATCTTGGGCATACACGCACATCCACCCGGTATGAGTTTAAGCTACCGGGTCCAGGACTCAAACTGTGGTTTACTACATGGGAGTTATGCTAACTGCTGGTTATGCTAACTGCTGGTTCCAAGAAAGTCTATTTTGATAATGTGGAATATTTGTGAGATGATTTAATTAGTAGTACAATTCTCCGATGTTTCTTCCAAATACCTTTTCACCTCTACCTACAATAAAACTGTAAGTATTTTTATGAAAGAAATATATAATAAAAAATTTTAAAAGGGCCACTATAATCAACAGAAAAATTTAAAATTGTGATCAGAAGTATTTAAGTACAGGATGCAATAAGTTAAAAATATTTACCAACAGTATAACAAGTGTAGGATATGTTTATGTAAATGACACCAGCTCAGAATCTATTAAAAACAGTATATAAAAAGATTAATCTAAAAACCTAGAGAAAGAACTATATAGACCTCAAAGAAGAGTTTTACATACCCTAAGGAAAAAATTCTTTACTGATGGCAAACTGAAAATTCATTTTACCCCAAAGGTCAAAGATGGTTTCAAGGTACTAATTGTCTCCTAATTGATATTCATGTACTTTAAAAAATACCAAATCAGATGATCACTGCAAGGTCCTTTTGACAACCAAGAATGCTCTGTTTATTGTTGTAAATGCAAAAGTTTATTATTGTTTTACATTCTTCCTAAGTACCTAGTTTGTATTAATAAGATTAATTAAGTACCTGCAGAGTCTTGTTCTTTTTTTCCAGTATATTTTTAAAGAAGAAAAAAACACCATATGAAATAAAATGAAAGGTAAAACCATATGGATCATTTAAAAAATAAACTCATACTTAGGCGTATGGCATCAACAAAAGCCTTTTGAAATAGGTTTGGCTATATCTGTACAAAGTAGCAAGGCTTGCAAGTCAAGTAGCTTCTAGGAAGGCAAGTGCAGGAAGCTCTGCAAGGCTGAATTAAGCTGCTTCCACCCTTCTACACACGTTCTTGATTCTACACATGTTATCGTTATCGATAGTACTTGTCTAGCATACTTCCTAGTAACCAAATCTAGCGATACAGTAAACTCTTGATTAACCTATTTGGGGGATGGGATAGTTTCCATTTTTAAATAGTTAATTCAAGGTAAGTAACAAAAATATTTTTTGCATAATGTTACTAAAATGTGTCTTCTACATTTCCCCTCTACTTTCAAGTAAGTAAGGTCTACAGATCACAATTACTACAATTCTTAGATAACAATAATACTGGATATTTGCCTGTTTCTGAGTTATAAACTACCATTATAAAATAATATAGATACTGGTGCAGAAAGTAGAGACATAAAGCTGAGAGATGCATATTTAACCTTGGAAGTTCCTCAGTACGCAACTCTAATCACACCCTTCATTTTCCCGCTAAAGAATAACTACTCTGAACTTTTTGTTTTTGGAGAGGTTTTTGCTATAGGGCATGTGCGCTCGCCAGAAAGACAGAGAGAGACAGACTACTCTGAATTTTTTAAATAATTGCCTTGCTCGTCTTAATAATCTTCTCAATTATTCATATGCCTGTTTTTAGACTCTATCTGAGGATTTCTTTTGTGATTTTATGCTTTTGCTCAATTTTGTGAATGTTAGATACACCTATGTTAATGGATATAATTGTAGCCTGATCATTTTAATTATTCTTTTTAATTTTTTTAAGGGAGATTTGTGTTATAGGGTGCAGGCCCTCTCCAGAGAGACCGAAAGAAAGAAATCACCCCCGCAGGGGGACCGGCTATGCCGCAATCCTTTCTGCTTCATTCTCCTCTCAGGATTTTGGGTGTGCGCGCGTGCACACATGCACCCAGCATGAGTTTTTAAGCCACCGGGTTCGGGACTTAAACCATGGTCAACTTCGTGAGAGTACAGTTACATAACCATCACTCCATCTGCTGGTCTCTGTTCTTTAATATTCTATTTAAGACCATGCTACAATTATTTTTCCATTCTTCTATTAATGAACATTTAGGTTATTTCCAATTTCTGGTGATTGTAAATTATGCTGATATGTACATTTTCCCCTTTTCTTTCTTTTCTTTTCTTTTTTTTTTTTTTTTTTTGAGAGGTTTTTGCTATAGGGTGCATGTGCTCACCAGAAAGACAGAGAGAGACAGAAAGACAGAAAGCGAGAAATCACCTCCCAGGGGGGATGGCCATGCTACAATCCCTTCTCCTCCAATCTCTTCTCAGGATCTTGGGCACGCTCACACACGTGCCCAGCATGAGTTTAAGTCACTGGGTCCGGGATTCCAACTGCGGTCGACTACGTGGGAGTCCAGCGACGTAGCCATTACACCAACTGCTAGTCCCAATATGCACGTTTTCTATACATGTCTCCTAGTACAAAAGTGTAAATGTTTTTTTCCTTTTATAAATATATATTACTTATTGCCCTACACTTTATAATTGTCTAACAAAACAGAAAGAGACAGAAAGACAAAAAGTGAGAAATCCCCAGAGATGATAGCCACATACCACAATCCCTTCTCCTCCTTTTCCTCTCAAAATTTTGGGCACACACATGCACATGCACACACACACACACACACACACACACACATCTGGCATGAGTTTAAGGTCCTCGAACCAGGGTCAACTATGTGGGAGTTCAGCAACATAACATCACACCATCTGCTGGTCCAGATAGCACTATTAAACATAGATGGCTTGGGGACCAGCTAGTAGTGAGGTAGTTACGGTGCTGGACTCCCACATAGCCGACCACAGTTTGAGTCTCAAACCTGGTGGTTTGCTTTCTCACTTTCTCTCTCTCTGTCTCTTTCTGGTAAATTAAATAATAATAATGATGATGATAAAAAAATAAATAAATAATTTAAAAACCCACAGATGGCTTGTGCCTTGGTGTCATGTGTAAATTTTTCCACCCAGAAAATATAAACCTCACTCATTAATAAATTAAACGTAGAATACTATTGGTCTCCACTTATGAGATGTTATTATAACTTACTATTGTTAAGCACAGATATGCATGCTCAGAGCAAAACTGTACATACATTAAAAAGTAGCTCTGTTTTCATTCCCTATATTCCACAACTGAAGATTCAACCCTAGTTAATATCTATAGCTTTAATGATTAAAATCACCAACTCTACTTTTGTTTATGCTAAAAAATATGTACTAATTTAAAATATGCTTTCTTCCTTGATTATAAAATTCACAGTAAATCACAGTATTATTTACATTTCTAGAAATCTGCAGCACGATGGGAAAGCTATTTTATGTGTTCTAACTTTAATTTAGAGGTCTTGTTTACACAGTCAAAAAATTAGCCTCAAAAACAGAAACATGAGCCAGAGTCCAAAAACTTACAGATCCCTAGGTAAAATATGCACTCCTGGCTTTGTTTCCAGAACATCCGAGGACATACTTCTAATTGTAATTTTAGATTTATTTTTGTTAAAACAATTATACTATTAAGTACAGACCCTTATTCTATAGTACAAGTGGATCAGTCTAAAAAATAAATCATTCCATATAAACCTGAATATATCTTAACAGTCTCTTAACAACAACAACAAATTAACATTTAATGCTACCTCCTATTTTTTCGACATAGTTCCACTGACACACATAAATTAAGCAAAAATGAATTAGACTAGTATCATCTTACCAAGTCAATACTTAATACGTTTTCATAAACTATTCTTTCAATCCTGATGAAACTAATATATTTACTTCTAAAGTCAAATCTTTTTTCTGTCTCCCTCTATATGACTGGAGTGCTTAAATATCACCAAACTTGATGCTTCTGAGATACAAATATTATACCAACAATGGTTTACTGTCTCCCCATCTCCACAAGTATGTCTGTAATTATGACTTATCAGAGATATTTATAATTAGAGAGAGGTTCCCAAAATAATCTCGGACATATGGAAGGAGAACTCTGTTTTGCCAAGATATTCCTTGGACTCTCTTTAAAGTGGTCCCATCTATGCAGACTGTTTCCATCTAACACAGAGGTCCCTAGCCCCTGGGCCACAGCCAGGTGCCAGTCTGTAGCCCGATGTGGGTCCCTCCCCACCAGGCCTGTGCAGTGGGAGTGGGTGGCGGTAGTGAGCGAGGCTCAGCCTGTGTTTGCAGCCACTCCTCATCACTTGCATTGCCACCTAAGCTCCATCTCCTGTTGGAGCAGTGGTATTGGATTCTCATGGGAGCCTGAGTCCTGTTGTGTGATTGTTTCACTGTACACTGCAATGCGTTAGTGTGGAAATGGGGTGCAGGGTGGATTAGGTACATTTAGGTCATCCTGGCACCAACCCATCACCCCAACCCATCTGTGGAGGGATTTTCTTCCAGAAGGCTGGTCCCTGGTGTCACAAAGTTTGGGGATCACTGATCTAACAGATTGATGCTGACCTTCAGAGGTATTTGCTAGAGAGGGAATAGCTAAGGCCTCAGTTATCTAATTCATCTTAGATCACTTCTCCTGTAGCTCTACTGGCATCTTTCTTCCTGGTTCACCTTCAGCTGTAACAGTGCCTCTCTTAAAGTGTTCAGCCTCCACCCTTCTGTGAAAAATAGGTACTCTGTATTTAATTTGGAACCATAGGAAACTTTGCTACGGACTCATGACAGTTCAAACAATTTAACAGACTTTAATTTAAATAGAGCAAGAATTGATTTGCCAAGTCCCCATAACTTTTGAAAAAGATATGAAATGACTCTGTACTATTACTACATGGTGGAAAATAAATTAAAAAAAAAAAAAAGACTGGCCTAAATGACTTCTGGCTGACTTCCAGTGCCTGGTAAATGAGCCCACCTTCACCAATGAGTGTGAGCCATAATACCAGGTTCATCTTTCTTGACTTTCTAAATAAATAGATAAATAAGTCCCGCAGGCAGATAGGAAGGACACTACCTGCAAAGCCGTCGTCGGAAAACATCAGAAGCTGGCATAACACGTCCATTTTAACGGAAATGGGTTCTTTTTTATTTAATCAGGACGGCTTCTGGGCGATTCATGAACCACTTATTGAATCACCGAGTTTAAGAAATCTGAAAAAAAATATTGGGAGTTGGTAAACACCACCTCCTGACTGATCAATCGTACCTAGTGTTTCAGAATGACACGAGAGATTTTGTATTCTGTTGGCACTTAAGGGCCATGGGATTGTTTTTAGTTGAACATAGTGAATAGTGAGTCTATAAATAATAGAAAGCGCATTGTTAAAATCCACCATCATCTTTGGCCTATACAGTCACTAAGCAGAGAAAGGTATGCATTTTGTTGGCTGGGCTGCAGTTCCTAAACAATTCATCTTTCAAGATTTCTTTTTCTTGAGGAGAGAAGCTAAAATAAAATGTTATGAGCCTTTTTGAGCCAACTATAAAACATAAATGGAACCTCAATCCCTGATCAAAATATCACTGACTTTAAAAAAAGATCACACATAGCTGTTAAAGCAATTAAGTTCACTGCATTAATAAAAAGGAACAAAGAAATTCAAGAAAGTTACTATTAAGTCTTTTATGCTCCAGTGAATTGACCTTTTTAAAGGGACTTGTGTTTACAAACCCTTTATTACTGGCCAGATTATCATCAGATTTGTTTAGTTTGTTACAAAAGAGGAGGAACAAAGTCAACTTTCCCCCAGGTCTCTACCCATTGTCACCCATATCTACCTTTTACTAATGGTTTTAAACTTTGTGAGCATTCTGGTAAGGGTGAATAAGAAGAACATTTTTATCAAATACAGGATAAATAAGCCCATTAGAACCTGTCAATGCTAATCATGCAAAGACACAATAAAGTGTAAACAATGCTTTTTGGAGTAATTCATTTTATAAATTCAAGGGAATATTTTATTGCAACTATAAGAATGGTATATCTCTCACCAAAACAGTGCTGATTTCTTAATTGTATTTTAATAGCGATTTAGGGATGCCCCTTTGGGCTGTCTTAGCTTTAATATGGTTTCAACTAGGTAGAATCTGGCAGGAGATCAAATCTGGTTCTTATATTTAGTCTACAGAATGGTATTAGCAAATGGGCTGTGCAATCACCAAAGGGATAGTAACAAGATAGAGGAGAAAAGAAAATGGTACTTCAAGAGAAGGGTGAAATCTTGAGCATATTACACAGTGTGTCTTTCTGGTGATAGACATTAAGATTCCACTATAAAAACGTGAGCAAGTCAAGGGAGAAATTCCAGATCTGGCCTGATTTCCTGGGATAGCAGATCTTCAACAATGTTTAAAGTCTAATGAAAAGATCTCATTAAAACAATCTTGGAAAATTATCTTGATAAGCTCTGTATTAAAAACTATCAAACAATGTCACACAAATTCCTTGGTCTATCTTTATAGCATTTCACCTAGTTTGGGTAGTAGGCAAGTATAGAATTATACTTATCTATTACTAAGATCAAACTTTGTTCGGTGCAATATGGTTATTCAGAAAAAGAATTTTCTGAAATGAATTTCCAACTCTCTCAACTTTTTTATTACATTAATTAATTTAAAGGAGCCCGTTTTAAACATTTATCTTTTGATTTTTGGGTGAAACACTGTGCCAGGTAATTTAAAGTGTCATTTGAGGCCTTCCTTTTACAAAATACATAATTGTAAAATTTCAGAATACATAATCTGGCTATTAGTAGATAGGAAAGCAAAATTTAATGGAGAATGTTACCTTATACAGCCTATCAGAATGTTTAAAGTTTTACAACATTATCATGTTAATATAAATTTTTAATAAAGCCAGTTTTTAAGAAAAATTTGCATTATTTACCTGTGCTTTATGTATGCTCCACTTTTTCCCTATTTAATCTCCCCTCCCCAAGAAAAAAAAAATGGCACAAGCAAGTGAATGGTAACAGTAGAGCAACAGAACACTGACATCTTGTTATTATTTAAAGAGCAGAGTAATCATGGAAAATGCACAGGAATCCTGAGCATTTTATACAATTTGCTTTTTCATTTATCATTTAATACATGTCTAGTAAGCATTTACACATATTGTAGCATTATATATAATTACATACATAATACCTTATGGTAAAGTATTATGACTTAAACACATTTAACAAATTAGGACAATGAAGATTAGAAGGGCTAAGTAACATACCCGAGGTCACACGGTTAGAAAATGAGACCCAAGTTTATAAATTTCCAAAGTCCAATCCTGAAGCCTGATACAGATGAGATGTTCAAGAGCATCTGCATTCCTAAACACAGTTATGTCTGAGCTGGCTTATATTCTCCACATTTAAATAAGAAGTCTCTTGGAATATACATTAAAGAACTAGAAAAGAAGTTCCCAAACTGAGATGGGTCGCAATAACTTTTTAAAATTTATTTGATATTATTTATATATATATATATATATATATATTATTCCTACATTAAATTGCTATATATCAGTTAGATTGTGAAGACTTTACCCAGCATGATATGCACCTCAGTCCAGCCCAGTTGAGACCACTATACACATCCTCATCAACAGATAATAAACCTTATCTGTGTCCCAGGGTCACAATAACTTTTGAAAGAGAAATGTTTTCTTCTATGTGTCCATTTCTTAAGTTACAATATTTTTTGTTGTTGTTGTTTGTTACTATAAAATACTTTGGAACTCCTACAGAATTCAGTTTTTTTCCACAAACAAAATGAAATACGTCATCACTCAATCAAAGTTCAGCCTGTGTTCTCTTAAATTATGTACATTTAAATTCTTTCTGAAATTGCTTCCCATTTATTGAAAATTTCTAACACTCACATCATCGACCCCACTTATGTACCCTTACTCTGCTCCCTCTAATCTATTCAGTAAATTCTGTCTGAGTATGAAGAAGAAAATTGGCCACAATGATATATTAAAGTATTTGGGGGAACAGCTTGAAATTTCATTGGGTCCTATAAAAGTTACTCATTACGCAAAGTTCGAAGCACTACATATTGGGCTTCTACCAATGGCTTATTTCTGGAGCAATTCATCATCACTCTCCAGAGATTACTTACTCTAGAAAGCTGGTGATATAGTCTCGACTGCAGGCAGACCAGGAAAAAGGATTGGTATTTGCAGTAATATGAGCTGCCATAAGTTTTGCTGCTTCATGACCTTTCGTCCCACAAGAATTTCCAATTCCATCATGGTTCATACCAAAACTGTTTTAATGAGGAAGAAACATAAGAAACATAAAAGAAAGAAATAAGAAAAAATAAAGCAAACAACTCCTCAGTACATCTTTTATTTCCTTATTTGGCCTTATCAACCAATGCCCTCTGTCTACTGGGTTGTCGTAAAAGTCATGATATCTTTTCCCTGTGTAAAAAATGTGTCTTTTAACTTTTCCGACAATCCAAGAGAAAGACTACATCTTCTCAAAGAAATACAGGATTAAGATTAGAGAGACTAAGAAATAATTCAATGATATAATTTATGTCTAAATCTCTCTAAAATTTATCAGATACTCTCACATTATCTCATGAGTCAATCTCTTCTTGAGCAAAAAAAAAAGGGGGGGAATAATAAACAACTAATCCTCGTTTTATAGATGAGATCATTTAGCAAAGACGAATGATCTATTAAAGATCACTCAGAAAGTTTCAAAATTGTTAGTAAAACCTGCCTTTTAATATGCTAATGCTCAGTCTACCTCATTATACTGAATCCAAAAGAGACTTAAAAAAAGATGGCTAGGATCCATTGAGTTGTTGGTTATGGACCAAACACAGAAGGCCTTTTTCTTATTAACATGGATAAAGAAGAATGAAATACTTTTAATTTATGTTCCTATGTGCATATGTTTATTTTCAAAATATTTTTTGAAAAACTTCAATACTTTAAGGATTATGATTTTTGTCATGATCTCCCTTTATTTTTCAAGACTTTACTTTGTCATTTCCCCCTATGACCTGTAGCCATGCTTGACACTATTATCAATGTGATCTAAAAACATATTTCAATGGTAAAATTTTTTTCTGAAAAGGATACACCTACTGCATCTGAGTATACTTTAACCTTTCTTCACAGTAACCAAAAGTTTGTGCTATTACTAAAAAAGGAAAGAAAAAATCTCCATTGTGACATTATAATAAATGTACCATGATGTATATTCAAGGAAATGTGGCTGCACTATAAGATAGATGAGGATAGCTGCTAGAGAAAAGTCTGGAAATACAGTAGAGAACAGATACGTAGCAGATCATTAACCAAAGTAAGTATTAGTACTTATCTTTTTTTTAAAATAACTTTATTTAACTTTATTCTAATTTGATCAGAGAGGGAAAAAGAGAAAGTGAGACACGAGCCACCAGGTCCAGGACTCGAACCGTGGTCAACTATGTGGGAGTCCAGCGTCCTTAACCACCACACCACCTGCCGGCCCCAGTACTTGTCTTTCTGGCAGCGTAGAGACATTAGAGGTTTGTTAGTCAGAGTAATTGAAGATTCTGTGTTGAAGTATATGAAATAGATCCATATTTTAGACAGTCATTCTAGTAGCTCTATCTTGGAAATACTGTGGAGAGAATACTGTGTGAAGAAATACAATGGGAAGAGAAATATGTGGGAAGAGTATGGAACTAGAGTCAGCATTTCAAGTAAAGATAGTTTTAAAAGTATTTCGCTTTGGCAGGAGCCGTGTGCAAGCTCCTGGGTCATGTTAAGACAGGTGCGGCAGGCATAGACGGGTTTAAGACAATCAATTTTGAGATCCTTAACCTCCTATGTACTATTTTCTAAGAAAAAGTAAGGCTTCTACTTTTGAAATCCTCTTTATCCCATCTTATGAAAGAAAGGCATATCTTTCATCCATCCACGAGTTTACAATAGTGCATTGCCATGGAATACAAAAACATGTGTGAAAAGAAAAGAGTCAATTAGAAATATCCGGTGTCAATGTTAAGAAAAGAGAATGACTTTTAATGAATGACTTTAATTGCCCATATCAGGCAATTTCTAATTCATTATTTTCATTGAGTTTACAGGAGCACAGAATCAAACTACCAGTTGATAAATTGTTAAAACTATTTTTTGATGGTAGACAAATGGTTACATTTTGACAAATAATTCAAAAGGAGTTCAAAGAAGGAAGAAATATTTCTATAGTAATAAACTTGAATGCCTGTGTACTAACTTATGTGAGCCACTTTTCTCAGTGTACACATCCATAGAAATAAAATTCAGAAATGTAATTGGTGCTGAAATTGTGTTTCATTCTAGCAATACAGAGATAAATGCACTGACTTTACAAATACATCCAATTAGGGACCAGCAGATGGCATAATGGTTATGTTGCTGGAATCTCACGTAGTCAACTGTGGTTCAAGTCCCGGACCTAATGGCTTAAATTTGTGCTGGGTGCATGAGCATGTGTGCCCAAGATCCTGAAGAGGAAATGGAGAAGGGATTGTGGCATGGCTATCCCCCTGAGGGGTGATTTTTTGCTTTCTGTCTCTGTCTCTCTTTCTGGTGAGCACACATACCCTATAGCAAAACAAAACAAAACAAAAACAAACAAACAAACAAAAACCTCTCTTAAAAACAAATTTAAAAAAATACATCCAATTAAAGATAAACCTTCTAAGAAAAATGTCACCTTTTTACTGCCAGAGCACATGTATGTATGTGAATATATGTGTGAGAGCGAGCATCCACCAATGGGGCATGGTTATATCCCAATTCCTTTTCCTCCATGTTTCTATACCATCAGGATCTTGAGCACACTTGCAGCGTGTTTTTCAAGCCCCCAGGGGTAGGATTCAAACCTCCATTGGCCATGTGGGATTTAGCTCCCCAGGTATACACGGGGAGTCTTGAAACCTACCTCCCATGGATAAGAAGAGACTATTATAGAAGTTTTAAAGGCTTCAGAATACAGCCTATGTTTAGAATATGAGAAATCCCCAAAATGTCCTGCTAATGTCAAATAGTTTACTGACAGGGATAAAATAAAATGGGAGTTTATAACTGCCACTCATGACATTAGCTTCAGAAGATCCCACTAATAAGTTAATTAGGCTAGAGTATTTCACTTATATAGATAGATAGGTACAGGTATATAGTGTTTTTAAAGGATAGGTTTCATTCTGAGGAGACCTTAATACTTAAGAGTTTGGCAAAAGAAGTAAAACACACTCGAGTGATCACAGAAAATAAAACAAGATGCTACTTTAAAACCATCATACTGGCAAAAATTAGAATGTTAGCTAGGACTAAGTGCAGAGAAACAAGGATTTGTTAAAAAAGAATTATTTTATTTAATTTTATTTAGTTAGTTTAATTTGACCAAAGAGGGACCGAGCAAGAGAGAAAGAGAGGGAAAGTGAGAAAGCAAGCTGCCATATCCAGGACTTGAACCATGTTCAGCCATGTGGGAATCCAGTGCCCTTAACCACCACACCACCTGCCAACCCTGAGAAACAAAGATCTTAATATATAATAATTGTAGGGTAGTCAGAGACCAATTCAGCAGTACATAGGCAAATTAAATAGGCAGATACATTTTAACCTAGCAATCCTATTCTTAGATACTATCTCAGAAATATTTTCAAAAGTAGGGCCAACAGGTGGCATGGTGGTTAAGGGTACTGGACTCTCACATGGCTGATTGTGGTTCGAGTCCCAGACCTGGCAGCTTGCTTTCTCACTTTCCCTTTCTTGCTCTGTTTCTCTCTGGTCAAATTAAAATAAATAAATAAATAAAGTTAACTTTAAAAAAAGAAATATTTTCAAAAGAAGTATGTATGAGCATGTTTATAGCATAATTCTTTATGATAGCAATGAGTTGAAGACAGCCTAGGTGTCTGTGACTAAGAAATGGACAGGTAAACTCCAACATATGTGCTTATTGCATAGATGTCTACACATAATCCAAGATACATGTCTCATATAAACTTGGGTGGACCTTAAAAAGTGAAAAGAATAAGAAAGAGAGAATGTTTTTAGGACTATACCATATAATTAAGCAAAAATTGCATATATATTCTTGAATGACAATTAAGGGTTGAGAAACTGTACCGGATTAAAGACTAAACAGACATAACTAAATGCAATAGAAACTGGACTAGAGAGGAAAACAAAATGCTGTAAAGGATCCTGCTAGGGGTCAGCCGTGTGGCACAGCAGTTAAGCTGACTTCCTGGCCAACCTCAGGTCAAATCCAGTACCAAGGACACAAAAAGCATGCTGGATGCATGAGTATTTATGCCCCAAACCTTGACATGATGGAGAAATGGAGAAAAGCAGGGGTGCTTTCTCTTTCTTCTCCTCACTCCCTCTCAAGCGCACACTCTCTGGCAATAACAACAAAACAATGTTGCTGGGACAACTGATAAAATGTGAATATGCACCGTATATTAGGTATCAGTAACGGATCAAAGTCAAATTTTCCACTTTGATAACTTCATTATGATCATATAAGATAACATTCTTTGTTCTTAGAAATCACATGCTGAAATATTTAGGGATAACAGACATTACAACTTACTCCCAAAGAGTTAAGGGGGAAAAAAATAAAATTTAAAAAATACACACACACACACACACACACACACACACATAGAAAGAGAGAGAAAAAAACAAATGTTGCAAAATATTAACAATTTTTGAATTTGGGTGAAGGACACATGGGAAATCTTCCTACTATAGCAACTTTTCTATAAGTTCGAAAAAAAAGTTTGAATTTAAAAGTTAGAAAGTAAGCACATGCACATACAAAATAACCTGCAATATTTTATAAGGATATATATGAATTCAAATATACACATCAAATTCATTAGTGTAGCTCTCTATAAAAGGAAAAAAATGGAAATATATAAATATTTTGTGAAAAAGACACTATCTTACATATGTTCAATTTTTTTTTCTTTTTTAGAGAGATTTTTGCTATAGGGTGCATGCGCTCACTGGAGAGAAAGAAAGCTCCAGGAGGATGGTCACACCACAGTCCCTTCTTATCCATTTTCCTCTCAGGATTTTGGGTACACATGTGTCGGTGTGAGTTTCAAGCTGCTGGATCTGGGATTCAAACTGTGGTTGTCTATATGGGGGTCCAGAGACTTAACCATTATGCCACCAGCCGATCCCCCCATATATTCAAATATTAAGCAAGAAGAGTCCTTGCTAGAACTGATATGATACTGTGTCAGAAACCAAAGATGGA